CTCTTTGGTCCGAAATTCATTCCGTTAACCTCCCGAAATCCACCCGAGGCCCTCGGGATCTTAACCAATTATACCAACATGTTCCAAAACATGATACAAACTCGCTCGAGGCCTCAAATCACATCAAACAACGTCGAAATCATGAATCGTACTCCAATCCAAACTTTATGAACTTTGAAATTTCAAACTTCTACATTCGGTGCCGAAACCCGTCAAATCACGTCCGATTGACCTCAAATTTTGCACACAAGTCATATTCGACATTACGGACCTGCTCCAACTTTCGGAATTGGAATCCGACCTCGATATCAAAAAGTCAAACTCTCAGTCAAACTTCTCAAAAACCTTCAAATTTCTATCTTTAGCCAAATGACTTCAAAATGACCTACGGACCTCCGAATTCACTTCCGATCGCGCTCCCAACTCCAGAATCACCATACGGAGCTACTCCCAGACTCGGAATCCCAAATGGACATCGATAAGACTGAAATGTACTTCAACCCAAACTTATAAAATTTCTTCCAAAATGCTAACTTCCACAATAGGCGCCAAAACGCTCCCGGGTCATCCAAAACCCGATCCGGGCATACGCCCAAGTCCGAAATCATCATACGAACCTACTGAAACCTTCAGATCCTGATTTCGAGGTCGTTTACTCTGAAATCCAATCTTAGTCAATACTTTCAACTTAAAGCTTCCAAAATGAGAATTCCCTTTCCAAATCAACTCCGAATTCCCCCGGAATTCAATTTCGACCATGCGTACAAGTCATAATACCTTAAGTGAATCTGCTCATGGCCCCAAACTACTAAGCGATGCACTAGAGCTCAAAACGACAGGTCGGTCGTTACATGTAGACGAGTCCAGTATATTTTGTATAGCAGTAGATGTTCATGGCTAATTCGTCGGCCTGCACAATTATATATATATATATATATATATATATATATATATATATATATATATATATATATATATATATATATATATATATATATATATATATATATATATATATCAGTTTTTGGGTATGTTTACCCCTCAGATGAGAGAGACGATTTTCAGATGATTCAGAATATGGCCTCATCGGCCTAAGTTGACGGTTACCCTCCAGAGTTTACAGTTACAGAGTGGTATGCTCGGGCCGAGTATGGCACCGGGTGCCGACCACGCCTATTCCAGTTTGGGGCGTGACAAATAGAGAAGCCAAGATGGTTCGCTCGGTCAAGTTAAGGCACCGAGTGCCGATTACGACTTGGTTATAAATCGGGTCGTGATATTATTATTATTATTATTATTATTATTATTATTATTATTATTATTATTATTATTATTATTATTATTATTATTATTATTACTACTACTACTACTACTATTATTATTATTATGTGTCTTGTTTGATTTTTTAGGTTTAATGTTATTCAAAAGTCACTTGTTCGACTAATTCATATCGCGCGTGTACCCCTATTTATGAGAATAAATTCAAAATACTAATGTAATGATCAAAATATATGTTTGAATTATAGAATAAAATTTGGATAAAAATATTGCAAGTTCTTGAAAATTATTAATGTTGGTCCTGTTCAGTTAACATCTCCAAATACTGAAAAAAATTGGAGGACCAAATCCTATTTCGTTGATGAAGAAGAAGATTGTCTTGTTTATTTTAGAGAAATTTTTATAAAGCACTATTTTTTAGTAGTAATTAGCCATATATAGATATCATTTGCTATATTACGGAATATAGATACCTTTTCAGTGGTTATAAGATGTATTTGATGTATTTAAGCTATTGTATTCATGAATACAGTAGCAAAAATAGACGTGAATCAAGGAAGTCCAGCTAATCAGTTGTTGTATTCGAGTGTATTAGACTGTATTCATGGAGTGAAACATGGGATTACAGCTGGACAGATTATTGTATTCGACTGTATTCACTGCGTGAAATAGGGGATTACACTGTTTTTAAAACGGAAAGTGAATCAATTAACATAATAGACTCCTAATGTAACTCAACAAACTCAATTATAACACATAAATTTTGTATTTTCAGTTATAAAAAAGATTCTCAACCGCAAAATACAATGAAATAGATAGAATACAGAGGGATACACTGAAATAAAATGAGAAAAAAAGACACTGAATACAATGAAATACATGGAATACAACGAGATACATTGAATTAAAATGAAAAAAAAAGATAGTGAATACAATGAAATACATAGAAATACAGCGAGATACATTGAAATGCTCTTAAAAAAAAGATAACAAAATCTTCAAATTGCTCAACCCCAAACTTCAGACGACCTATTTTAGTCGACAATTTTCGGACGACCCATCGAATTCCGACCATGATTCCATAAGCAGCGATGAGAGAAAATTCCAAATTAATAAGGCCTACAATCCACATGAACTCGGCAGAGTCGTATAGAGGTGCCTCTGTCTCCGCCGCTTGAGAATTGTTTGCGCAGCCTTGCAAAGTCGCAGAAAATAGTTTTAGGGCCTTTTTGGCGATGCCTAAGAACTAAAGCTGAAGGCAAATAAAAAAGAAAATTACCTTGTCCTATCCCGCAAAAATAAGGAAAGAACGATTTATTTAGGGTAAATTGAGAGAAGGAAGATGCCTCCTCTGTCGTTGGGCAAAATCGGCAAAGTATTGCCCTTCTCCAGGCTGTGTTCCTGCTTTAGAGTCCTTGTCGCTAGATGAAAAATTTTAATGGGATGGGGGAAGAGAAGGGGATGTATCAAAGTAGAGAGAGAAAGAAAAAAGTGTAACTGGTTAGCGTATTTAGTGGCTTAGGGCTAGAAAGTAACCAAAATTAAATATTTTGCTATAAAACTTAAAAGGTATCTATAGAATATAATTTTTTTAAATGGTATTTATTTAAAATAAATAAGGTATTAACCTTTACTATATAAGATAAAAATTCCTTTATTTTATCGTTCTGATAAATTAATTAATGCAGGTTGTCTTGACTGTCTTTTTCTAATTAATAGAGTAACTGTGACCCCAGGAGGGTTAAAAATAAAATTGAAAAGAACACATTAGTAAACGTTTTGGTGTGCCCGTAACTCTTGCCAGTCGCACCTCATGTACAGACAACTGTCAAAATATAAACTAAAAATCCACCTTAAATCATGGACACTAAGGTATTGTTCAACAAATGAATCACATGAAAGCTTCTCAATAGTTTCTTCTTATATAGACTACATTTGGAATAATAGCGCATCTATATGACAAAAGTCTTTGTATTAAACTAGTACTATTTTTAGGCAACTAATTCTCTAGGAATTGTAGGAAATGGCATAATTAATTTGTTCAGTTTACAATTGGAAGAAGAAGAAAGAAGAAGAAGAAGACGACGACGATTCAATGAATTATGCATGAGCTTGGCATCAGACGCTCTGCCTTTCTTTCTGAGAGAAGAATTTCTACATGCAATTCAACAAAGGCAAGAAAAACCAAAATTTGCATTTCAAACCAAAAAAAAGAAAAAATTTAAAAGTTCAATTGATAAACTTTAGGTAATATTAAATTCAGATTTAGTGCAAAATTTACACAAAAAATGATCCTTTCATTGTTTTTTTCCATCATAATTCTTTTATTGTTAGGGCACAACGATCTTGGCTGACCTCCTTTCGAACATCCTAATTCAACATCTTATATAGTTGACTTGCCTTTTCATGCTCTATAGTTTCTTCTGCCTCGTGGACTGCCATCCATGTCTAGTATTTATATCTCTTTCCCCAGTTACATATTTGTTTGTGACTTTAAGTGCCAGAAAAAAAATTCAAAGTAAAAAAGAAAAAACATTCCTTAAATTTCGAATGTAAATAAAGAAGACAAAAGTTATATATCAAGAAATTTCTTTAGATTCTTTATGTCCACGTAAATAAGGGAAGACATATATTTTCTATCTTAGTTTTATGGATATATATATATATATATATATATATATATATATATATATATATATATATATATTAGTTTTAGCTTTTAGAACCCTAAGTCAAAGTGAACTTCGAGAGCTTTTGAATTAAATAAGATCGTGTCTTTCCTTACTATTCCAATTATTTTTCTTATTTTTAGCTATTCCATATTTGAAATTTTCCTTAATTTTAACACTGAATCTTGTCAATATCTTATTTTAAACGTGCTCTTTTGAAGTCCTTCAGGTTTTTCATATCTCCTAAAAGTTAAATTATTTATAGAATTTTATCTAATATGAAATGCACTGGGCAGCTCAATAAAATTACTGATCTAAGATCAAATTTTAAGAAGAGACCCTAAACTTTTTTAATAGAATTTATATATTTAAATATATAGAGACACACGCATGCAAAAGAATTCAGTGTTGTCTTTCCTCTCTTTTTTTCCGTACTTATATATAGAATAATATTCTTACAAGACATTAAGTCTTTAATTTTATGTTAATATTAATAATATGGTTATCCATATTTGAAAAAGAAAAAAAAATGTCAGTCATGTGTATTTGTAATATATTACCTTGAATCTTGTTGAAATTTAGTTGTTAATATAAAGATGTGAGTAGTTTAACTCGAAGTTCTTAAATATTTCTAATGTTTAAAAGTGGACCGTCTTTTTCTTATTATTATTATTAAATTATTATAAAAAATTTGTACTTTTTTCTATAAACTTCAATATTGTTTAAATAAAGATATTATTATGTATTCCACTATTTAATTTTTTTGGGGCCTTAAAAATATTGAAGACTTAACCCAAATAGTCGTCCGCCAAACCGCTTAAACTAGAAATAGCCGATGGAGGTATAATATGTGCATAATTTATATATTATATGTGTATAATTATGTATATCAATGTAAAAATTATGTATATGGCTATAAAAAGTAAACAATGAATATTGACGGCTCATGGTATAAAGATTCCCGGGCCTAATGCAAAGATTTTACTAGCCTACCCTTGACCTACCCTAACTACCACCACTAGGCACAATAAAAAGAGAAGAAAAAGGATTATATGAAAGAAACTATCCCAACATTGTGAACAACAAAAAAATTATAGGAGGTCCTGAGATTGTCAAAGTTGTACACAATGACTGGAGAAACAAAATAGCCATTTGGGACCAAAAGCAAAAATAAGCTGCTGATATTACAATCATACAAATCGTCTTTGAGAATGCTAACAGTTAATACAATCTTAAAAATCTTTTAGGGCTCCTTTCGATATCTACTGCATCTCCGAAAATTTAGCTTTGAATGTACACCGGTTCCGTTTGATGCATCTAGTTTTCACCTCCGAGCTGGCAGGACTAGTCAACAACTACACCTCGTCCCAAACAAGTGAGGGTCAGCTGGCAGGAATCATCACAAACTAACTTTTATTCTGTAGTCTCATTCTTGTACCCTGATGCTCTCCCACTTTTACCAATTAAAAATGGCTCGGGAAAATTATTTTCTGTATGAATGTCAAGGCCGTGAAACGACCTAGCTGCGAAGTACTCTGCCCCAGATTTAGCTGTTCCATTCATTAGAGTTTGAGAGTCCTTGTCACGAACTCGCAGAGCCTTCTCTGTGATGTTCACTAAAGCAGAAACTCCATCTTCAACATCTTCTTCAACATCTGTAGAAGACATATTTAAAATCTTAACCAGATGCCTTCAAGTAATAAACAAAAGAAACGGCTCATATAGGCAGAAGTAATCCCCGGCACACCCCAAGGGAAGAAGTTTAGTAGAATTCAAAAGAAAAAAATAGACATTAGCTTTTCCTGAAGGCTCAGTCCAAAAACAAGTACTGGAAGCACAGCTATTAAATAAGTGAAAATTGAATTTGCAGGATCGACACAGGCTCCATTACACTGCAGGATCGACCAAAAGAGAACCTCCAAGACCCAAAAATGTCATGAAAACTATACATTGATACAAACCTGACTCGTGAACTAAAAGGAAAAAGGATTATCAATAAAACTTACAACGTTGTAACTACTTATCCATAACAACCACGACCAAAATCACGCTTATCCACAAGTAAATGCAAAGTGGTATAACTCTATCAAGAAATGATATTCTACAGTTAGTTCGAATTTGAACAGGAGCTATGCATGTATAGTTTTATTGTAACTTCATCTTGAATCCAAAAATAAATGTAAGCTGAAGAATGCACCTTGCTGTTCAAAATCTTCCACATATCCACCCTGAATGAAAGAAAACCGCGCTTCTGACTGGTCTTTCACTTCCACGGGGGAAGAAGTAATCAAATCCCGAAATTCTGTCACATAAGCCCCAGTCCATTCACTTCCTCTGAAAAAGATTGATTAAACAACTTAAAATGATTACTAGATGCTATACATGTGACTATCCATGATATATTTCATCTATAAAGGATTTCAATTACACCAAATGGCTCTGGTAATCATTATATTATAGAATTAAGATTTGAAAGTAATAACAATCCAAAGGATCCTATGAAATATATTCAAGGTGATAATGCAACATTTGTTTAGACCGAAGTTTCTTTTCGTTCCTCTCCCCCTCCAGACTTACTCAAACTCCCAGCCCTTAGTTGGAAGTCAAGAGCTATCACCAGTTCACCACTAAGAGCAACCCAATCTTGTCAGCTTAGACTGAAGTTCTTATAAAACCTTTATTATTGTAGCACGATATGCCCCCAATATGTTTCTGCATGAACTGTCTCAGTGTCTCTGCAATAGGCAATAATAATATAACCCAATCACCAAAGGAACCAATAGTAATACTCCCCCGTCTAGAATATAACAGCAAAGATCAGAATACCAGGGCCAAATTCCAAATTTTTGATTTTTTAGATTAAATGTACAAATTTGAATAGCATATAAAAGGTACAGTGATCACAATATTTTAGAATAAGAATGCTTTAAAAACTAAAAATTGTAGTCAAATACTTATTTCTAGCATCTCCATTTTTCTCTTCTTAGCTTTTTTTGTTAAGGCTTTTCTCTACGTGTTGCAGCTCCAACTCTCAAAATGTGCGAAGCTTACATATCGTAAATCTCCAAGCAGTTTATTTAAGCCATAACCTCAACACAGGTAACTCTCCATAAACCCAAAAACCCATTCTTGAGTACTTCGACGCAATTTCCTTTGGCTGAAGTACTGCTTCATAATCTTCGCAATCCTAGAAAATAAATTCCAAGCTTACGTCCTTACAATCCTGTGGCCACCTAATTTAATCCCTACTTTAGTCCTACATCAGGAAAAGCTACCAACGCAGTTGCACGTAATGTGATGAGCTTCCACAACATGTGGATGAAGGCTAACAAAATAACTTCTCTTATAAGTAGGCTAACAGAATAACTGATCGCTAAAAGAAATATGAGTGGCTAAACATAAGAATGGAGTTTGAAATACTACCTGCCGAAAGCAATCATTGCTTCAAAAGGAGTAATAACTGGAGCTAAGAACTCTTTACTATCCAATAGAGCAGTTTGTGCACAAGAAACATAAATGAAGACATCGCACTGCAGAAATACAGCAAGAACTTCAGTATTCCCACAAATCACAAAAAAAAAATACCGCCAAGCATCATGCAACTAAGGTGATTTACCTCAGGAAAGTTGGCAAGTTTTGCAGGGTTAGGTCTCCCCATAACAAAAGTATAGGCTTTCTTCCCAGCTCGGGTAATCAAGTCTTTCATCTGATGAATCATGTGGAGGTAACCAGCTGCACCAATAATAGAAGAATAAAAGCCTCATTCTACGTACTTGAAAGGGTAAAACATACAAATCGTGCAACTTTCAATCCAAATCAGATCCTACAAAGTTCAAGTATGTATACTAGAAAGTACCTACTCCAAGTGTCCCTACCAAGATCCCTATGATGCTAGCATCCTTGGCTTTCTCAATAAGAAAGTACCTGCAGAAACAATAATTAGTACAGAAACCACGAGATAGTGTGAAAAGCATGAGAATCAAAGATAGAGAAAGCTAACAAAATCTATCAGTTGAAATGAAGGGAATGATGCTAATAATACCTACGCTTAAGAATCCTTTTCTGCTGAGAAAAGTCATTCACCAAAAGGTCTTCCGTAGCATCATATCTGACTGGGAATGACGCAGAGAACATAGAAGACAACAATTAGTAACATCCAAAAACAAAACTAGCATCAAATTTTATCAGTATCAGATAGAATTGTCTACAGATAAATCCTACTGAAAGCCGAACGTTCTGACAAAAGAGACAATAATTCCTTTTTTTTTCTCTGAGATGAATAAAAGAAAACTTTCAGGAACATCAAAAAGTTAGTAATCTTTTCATCTTCAAACTAGAATTATCGACAAGGAGAACCCTTAGGAAATAGAAAATCAAAAGAGAAGAAACAGAGAGAACTGAAAAAACACATCTTATTAAACCAGTAACGAAAAGAGAAAGGAGTAGTAATTCTATTCTGATTGGGAAGTAGAAAGAGATGCGAAAGTAGATAGTATTAGACGGAGGATTTTTGCAGTCTAAGAACACCAAGTGAGAAAATTACCAGCAAGGAGAAACAGAGGCAACGTATCTGAAAAACAGTCTTCACAGCCAAATAAATTAAGGCAAATAATGACAACTTTACATACAAGAAAGAAAAACCCACACCTGTTTCACAAGTATTGTATGTCATTAATATATTTGCAAAGGCTGAGTCATCTGAACCAACATAGAAAAGCAAATAGTCCTCCATCCTGTGTCCCACAGGTAACGACCACGTCAACCCTCCAATACGATATGGTGCATTGTTCTCCTCAATAGTACAGCCATTTGCACATTGACCATCACTTAGTTCTGGTTGCCCATTCATCGAACTAAAAGTTTCTGATGGAGTTATAACTGGAGACATAGTATCAGCATAACAAATTTCCAGTTTGAAGCATGATTGAGTACCAACTGATGCTTTGATTTCTGTGATTGCATGTGCATATTCAAGTCCATAAAGAACCTGCCATTATAAGCAACAACACTTATTTTTGAAAAAACTGTAGGAGATAAACTACCAATTTTTTTGATGCCATTTGAGTGGCAATAAATGTCCCTAACAAGTCCGATATAGAATTTAAAATACCGACAACTCTTATTGCTGTCTGAATAATCAGAAATCATGATGGTAAAACCTCCCAGTACTATGAATGGGGTATGGAAGTCAAACACACTTACGGCAACCACTTAACTGAACCAAATTGATATAGAAATAACCATCACTGAGACAAGCTTTTAGTTTGACCGCACAATATGTACCTATATTTACCAAAGTAACGAAAGACAGAGAAACAACTTCACTCTAATATTACTTAATGCACTAGAAGAATATGCTTATTGCAACTTTCTGATGATAAACTAACACAGAAGGCAAAAATAGATGTGGGAAGTAGCAGTTAGTCATACCAAAATAGGTTTGCCAGCTTTTATTGTATACTCGCAAAGCTTGTGAGCACAAAGTGGCACCTTTAGTGAAGCTTTCCCAAGGACAAAAAATGCGGGAAGAGTTGATGTCCTAAAGCAGAAATAGTCAGATCCAAACACTAACTTCGTCAATTGTATCGCAAACCCATGTTACAAGCGTGATGAAGATCATAAACATTCAATACTCACGGACTGAAGCAAGTATGACCATAATGGATAACGCCGTCCGCATTGACATGAGATGCTCCAACTTCGTCGACACAGCAATTTCCATACGTAGTATCCGCCATTACATAGAGCCTAACATCCTTTGCATCTCCATTACTTCCAGTATGTAACTGGTTCAACGAGCGAAGTTTTTCATGTAGAGCAGCAACTATCCTCGTTGAATCTTTCAATAGTTCATCAGGGAACTAACAGATTAAACAAAAAACTTATCATGTTCCATTCAAAGGCCACTAATCTTCCATAACTAGCACCTTTAGCAAGCAACTCTACTACAGCTCAAATGATTTGGAAAGCAAAAGAAACAAAAGGCGAAAGAAAAACTCTTGTTCTTTACATTCCTCATATATTTTATTAGTCCTGCAGACGTTATTGAACCTATGAACGAGTCGCTCTATATAAATACTTCCTCAAAGAAATGGGGTACAAATGCTTTATCATGATTAAACTAGCCATGAAATGGAGAAGCCCTCACATTGTAGAATCGGGTCTGAAGAGCTCACAACCTTCTGGAAGCAACAAGTATGATTTCAAGTCAAGGCCATATTTGCCCCAATTATTCTTCTTTCATATCACGAAGTAGCTAAATGTGCAAGACAGCAGTATCATTTGGTCAAATCTGAATGCTGACCATATGGTTTGAAATTGGAAAATGACCTCTGTTACTTAAAAGAGTTTTTGCCCCAACTCCTATTAGTGATATATGCTTTGATTGCAAATATTCAAGAGTAACATAGCCTCTCACCAACATTTACAGTCGAAAAGGCGGACTCTTCAAACTTCTCTCCAGCAAATTGAAGCTTATGCCCAAAGTAATTTGCTAAAAACGATAGCTTTTGCAAACATGTGAAGCCAAGACATACAAATAATGCCCAACCTAAAAAAGGTGACTTTCAGGGGGTTTGTAGGGTTTATGCAGACAATTTCAAAATTATTTCAACAAAATAAAAACTGTAAAGTTGGAATTTCAGAAACAAAATGTGTACCTGAAGAGCAACTCGGTGGAAGCCTCTACCGGAGATGAATCCGGCGACACGGTCAATTTCGTAAATTGACTCCAATTCCATGGGGCAAAATAAGAATAGAGAAGAGAAAGAATTGGGGTCTCAATAGAAAGTGAAACTTCAATTTTTTTCTTCAGAAGAAAAACGACGGAGAAAAGAGGGAAGGGTTTCAGGGAAGAACACATAAGGAAATATATAAAAACACCCTGGATATTTTCGTCAACTCACAGCTCATGAGAACGTTCAAAGCACAGAACACAATATCAATTAGCACAAATAATTATGGAAAGTCGAAAATACCTTCGTTTTAAATTTTATTGACGTTAAGCTGACTTTTAATAGTAGTAAAAGTATATAGAAGTGACGTAACTAGTGGCTTTTAGGCTCGCGCCTCCACAGAGTAAAATTAGCAGGGGAATAAATCTGCATAGTTAAGTACTTTTATCAATTATTCCCTCTGTTCCAATTTATGTGAACTTATTTGACTGGGCACGAAGTTTAAGAAAAAATAATACTTTTAAAATTTGTGGTTCTAAACAAATCAAAAAGGGGCCCATAGTATTTGTGTGGTTATAAAAGCTTCTCATTAAGGGCAGAATCGTAAGTTCAAGCTAAATTGTTTCCAAATTTAGAATGGGTTCATTCTTTTTGGAACGGACCAAAAAGAAAATAGGTTCACATAAATTGGAACGGAGGGAGTACTAGTTTTATGATCCATGTCAATTATTATAGGACTTTTTAAACAAATGTATAAATATTATTAAATATTATGTTTGTACTGTGAAAGAATAAAAATAAAAATATAAGTTTCTAAAAATATTAAATCATGATCCTTCCACCTCAATGCCCCAGGCGTATGCCTAGTATGCGCCCAACGCTTTGCGCATAAGCTCGTTCCAAAGTTCTTTTGCAATCATCTGTAGTTATATTTGCATGTAGATCATTGAAAATCATTAACAATCCATTGAGCCGTCAGTAATCGCATTTCAAAATTTGAGAATATAATGTCGCGTCGCAAAAGTGAATTTAATAAAACCTTTCATCCAAAGTTCTAATTTTTGTCAGGTCTTCGTTATTTGTTTACTTATATTTTTGTTCAAATTTTATTTTTTATGTTATTTTGTTTGACAAATAATTTTTTTATTTGTGGTTTCTGAAAGTCATTATTTATTAGTTAGTATTAGTGAGTAAAAATTTATGAATACTCATAATGTTATTTTAGTAATGAATTAACGTATTGGATTGTCAGTCAAATTATTAATAGCTTATTAGAAGCACACGGTGGTAAAATATAATATATAATTGTGAATTATTCCTCTAAGAATAAATGTTGTTTTCTAATTTATTTAATTCTTAACTTGGTTGCCTCTCAAAACATGTCAGTAAAGGAGACATTAGTCTTTAATTTATCTTTTTTCATTTACTTCTCGCCCAAATTAATATAATGGATTAAAGTTATAGATAGTCAAATATAGAATATACTTTAGTGGTAAACTATTTTTTGTAAGAAAATAATTATATAAATTTGATGTATATAGAATAGTTTAAATATTTAATTTGGACGATAAATGTACATTATATGGAATCTTAACATGCTTTATCAAATTTATAAATGCACGTTCCTAGTTTGCAGGTCTAAAAAAGTAGAAACAAATTACTATAAATGAATTGTTTGATCTATACAAGGTCAAATTTTAATTGATTTGATGTCCTAAATTTTAGACTTATATGTAACAGAAAACTTTAATAAGTAAAAAATTTATTTGATTTAAAACTTGTAAATATTATGAGATAAATTAAATGACAATCTTGTCCAATATAAAATTAAATTTTAAGGATAAAAAAGGCGAACGACATTTCACTAAAGGCCTTCGTGCTTTTAGTATAGTATATATATACTAGTTACTATGCACGTGCCTTGCACGTAATACCCTAGACACGAGAAGAGAAAAATATACAAAAACATGTGCAACTAATAGTTTACGTAGGTATGTGTAACGATCCGACCGGTCGTTTTGAGCTTATGCGCTTTGATTGCCAGTTCTCGGGCGTGACTTTCGCCGTGTAATGTGTTATGACTAAGGTAGATCATTTGAAGGAATGAATTTGAAAGAACAGTCTCAGTTGAAAGCCTTGTTGGAAGGTTTGACCAAGAGTTGACTTATTTGTATACGAGTTCGGATCGGAATTTTTATGATTGGGTTAGCTTCGTTAGGTGATTTATGACTTAGGAGCGTGATCGGAATTGGTTTTGGAGGTCCGGTGTAGAATTAGGCTAGAATTGGCGAAGTTAGTATTTTGGCGATTTTCGTTTGATAGGTGGGATTTTGACCCGAGGGTCGGAATGGGATTCTGAGAGTTGCTATAGCTTCGTTATGCCATTTGTGATGTGTGTGCAAAATTTCAGGTTATTCGGACGTCGTTTGGTCGGGTTTCTTATCGAAAGTGTATTTCGGAAGTTTTAAAACTTAGGCTTGAATTCGATGAGTTTTGAGTAATGTGATGTTGTTTGAGGTGTTTTGATGATTGGAACAAGTTTGAATGATGTTATGGATTATGTTGGTATGTTTGGTTGAGGTCCCGAGGGTCTCGGGTGAGTTTCAGGTGGTCAATCGGGCCATTTTTTGAGTTTTGGAAGTGCAGAGATCAGTTCCAGCAGTTGCAGACTTTTTGGTCTTCGCGTTCGCGAGAGGAGCCTTGCGTTCGCGAAGAGTCTGTTGAGAGAGTGAAGGTTTAGCCTTCGCGTTCGCGAGGCATGTGACGCGTTCGCGAAGGGTTCATGAGCTGTTCATCGCGTTCGCATGGTTATATTCGCGTTCGCATAAGAGGAATTGGGTCAGGTGGATTGGAAGTGAAATTTGTGCTTCGCGTTCGCAGGAGTGGGGTCGCGTTCGCGGAGGGTTGTCTGGGTAAGCTACGCGTTCGCGAGCTAGTTGTCGCGTTCGGGTAGGAGAATTTTGGTCAATGGAATTTTTGTGCTTCGTGAACGCGAGGCTTTGACCGCGTTCGCGAAGAAGGATTTTTAAGTGCTAGGCAGAATGTTTTATAAAGGCTATTCCGTGATTTTGAGGTTAAGAACCTCCATTGTTGAGCGATTTTGGAGCTTGAGAGAGCTAATTGAAGAGGGATTCAAGGGGAACCACCTGGAGTTAATATTTTTGAACTCAATACTCGTTTCTATTGTGAAATCTACCTAGAAATTCATGGAAATTAAGCCTAAAATTGAAGAACTAGGGCTTGAAAATTGGAGATTTTTAAATTGGGATTTTATAGGCCATTTGAGCTCGGATTTGGGAGTTCTTGATATGTATGAACTCGTGGAAAGATAGGGAATCTACTGATGTGAAAATTTTTGAGTTTCGAGAAGTGGGCTCGGGGCTCGGGTTTTGGTAATTTAGGGATTTGTGCTCGTTATTGTTTGTTTTCGCTTGGGCTTTGTTTCCTTAGCATATTGTGATGTATTCGCTTTGTCTTTGGATAGATTAGACGTGCATGGAGGTCGATTTGAGGGGCAAAGGCGTCACGAGCTAGAGAATTCGCCGGTTCGAGGTGAGTAATGATTGTAAATGATATCCTGAGGGTTTGAAACCCCGAATTTGCACATCATAGTGCTATATTGAGGTGACTTGCACGCTGGATAGCGAGCGTGGGGTAGAGCACCGTTGGGGATTGCGACTTGGTCCGTCCCGATTGATGAATTTACTGCGTATTTGTCTGAAATTACTTGTTATCATCACAATTTGGGTTGATTGCCATATTTGGGCTTCGTGCCAGCTATTTGAACCCTTCGAGGATTGTTCTTGAAAATTCCTCGCTGTTTTAATTATATACTTGAGCTCAGTCACGTATTTTCCACTGTTTTAAAACTCAGCCAAGTTTATTATGCCTTAAATGCTTGAAATGATATTCTCAAAAATATTTTAGGCTGAGCATCATGTCTTACTGTTGCCCGAGTGGCTTGTTGATCTTTGACTGAGTAAGGCCGAGGGCCTGTATTGTGAGGATACGTTTGGATCGGGCCGCACGCCGCAGCAGTGTTATACTGATATTGATATGAGGCCGAGGGCCTAGATTGATGCCACGAGATGGCTTGAAATTGCGCTTGGGCCGTAAGGGGCCCCTCCCGGAGTCTGCACACCCCCAGTGAGCGCCGTCGACGATAAACGGATCGGGCTGCACGCCGCATCGGTATGTGGATCGGGCTGCACGCCGCAGCGGTACTAGTACTGTTCTGTGTGTTTACTTTATTTTATTTGCTTGCCTTACCTGTTGTCGTGCTACTTCATGAGATATCTACCGGATTGCCTGACATTATCTGTTAATTGAGTGTGGTGCCCGAGGGGAGGACTTCTGTGCTTATCTGCACTATTTGAATTGCATTCGTTTGCATACTGTTGAAAAAGTCGTTTTAAACTGAGCTAAGATATTTCTAAAGATTTCACAGCTTCACTGTTTTTCTCAAAAGGTTTTACACTACTTCTATATAGTATGATGATATGACATACGTGATTTCTTACCGCTCAGTTGTTATTTACCTTTATTACTCACTGAGTTGGAGTACTCACTTTACTCCCTGCACCCCGTGTGCAGACGCAGGTATTTATTCACCCGGTAGCAGGTTTGGCTGATCAGAGTCAGAGATATAGGAGTTTAACGAGGTGACTGCCAACGTTCGCAGCATCGTTCTTCTCCCTTTGTTCATTATTCTTGATTAGTGTATTTTTAGACCTTGAGGTTGTACTTACATTCTAATAGGTGCTCGTGACTTGTGACACCCCGATTAGGGATGTGTGGGGTTGTAATTCCGCTAATTAATATTATTAAGTCATATTTTAGCTGTTTATTCATGTTTAAATTATTTTTGAAAAGACGAGTTGGGTTAGTTGGTTGGCCTCGTCTTCACGAGAGGCGCCATCACGACCACTGCGGGGTTTGGGTCATGACAAGTTGGTATCAGAGCCTAGGTTACTAGGTCTCACGAGTCATGAGCAGGTTTAGTAGAGTCTCGCGGATCGGTACGGAGACGTCTGTATTATCCTCGAGAGGCTGCAGAACCTTTAGGA